TAGGTGAGTTCTAACAGTTGGGGGAGAGTTCTAATATTTTTGGGTTAAGATTCTAATTTTTTTGGGTAGATATTCTAACTCTTGGGGTAGGGGTTCAAACTTTGTTGGGGTGAGTTTCAACTTTTTTGGTTAAGGGTTCCAACTTGTTTGGATAGAATTCTAACTTTTTTTGTTAAGGGTTCAACTTTTTTAGGTAGGTGTTCTAATTTTTTGGGTAGAGGTTGCAACTCTTGTGGGGGGGAGGGTTCTAACTTTTTTAGAGGTTCAAGTCTTGGTGGTTCTAAAAGTTGAGGGGAGGATTTCAATTTTTTTGGATAGAATTCCAACTTATTTGGATAGAGGTTCCAATTCTTGGAGTATGAGTTCCAACTTTTTTGGATAGGTTCTAACTTTTTTGGTTAGGGGTTCAACTTTTTTAGGCAGATGTTCTAATTTTTTGGTAGAGGTTCTAACTCTTGTGGGGGGAAGATTCCAACTTATTTGGGTAGGGGTTACAACATTATCGGTTAGTGTTTTAACTTTTTTGGGTATGGTTCCAACGTTTTGGGTAGATGTACCAACTCTTGAAGAGGGTTTCAATTTTTTTTGGGGTGTGTTCTAACTTTTTTTGGGTAGGGTTCCAACATTTTTGGTAGGGGTTCAACTTTTTTGGAATGAGTTTCAACTTTTTTGGTAGGATTTCAACTCTTGGGAAAGAGTTCTAACTTTTTGTGGGTAGGGTTCTTGGGAGGGTTCAAATTTTTTGTGGGTGGAGGGAGAGATAAGATTTTTGTGATTAATATATTGTAATATGTGGGGTGTAAGTGTAATTTAAAATTTAGGATCGGTCCAAGAAATGAGAGACTGATCCTGAGTAAATATCACCTTTTTATCCCTTAACTATAACGCTTTTATCTATTTTTGTCTTAATTATCACACTTTTATCACTTAAATAATCAAAAATATTTCCAAAAATATTCAATTTTTTATAAATAGTCCCAATTTCTTTTAACAATAAAAATTAAATAATGAATAAAATCAAAAAATTAAAAGAATTGTAAATAATGCTTCCAATTTTTTGGGTGACTCCAATTCGCTACATCAAAAAAATCATACTGTCCAAAAATATTCAGNTGCTTCCAATTTTTTGGGTGACTCCAATTCGCTACATCAAAAATATCATACTGTCCAAAAATATTCAGTAAATAACAACAAATAAATAATGAATAAAATCAAATAAATAAAAGAATTATAAATAATGCTTTGGTGTGGTTATAACGGGTTATAACTTTTTTTGAATTGGGTCAAATTTTTTGGATGAGTCAGATTAGCTTAGATCAAAAAAAAGTTTTAAAATATTCAATATTTTATACATAGTTCTATTTTTTTTATTATTATTAACAATAAATAAATAATGAATAAAATTAAACAATTCAAATAATTGTAAATAATGCTTCTAACTATTTGGATCATTTTTGGAGATTACAACTCTTGAGGGAAGGTTCCAACTTAGGGATGGGTTCTAACAGTTGGGGGAGGGGTCCAATTTTTTTGAATAGGTTCCAATTTTTTTTGGGTAGAAGTTCCAACTGTTTTGATAGGGGTTCCAACTTTTTTGGTTAGATTCTAACTCTTTTTGGCAGAGGTTCCAACTTTTGTGGGTAGAGGTTCCAACTCTTTGGACAGGTGTTTCAACTTTTTGGGCAGAGCTTCCAACTTTTTTGGTATGAGTTCCAACTCTTTTGAGTAGTGGTTCCAACTGTTGGGGGTAGGGTTTCAACTTTTTGGGTTGAGGTTCCAACTCTTGTGGGAGAGTTCCAACTTGTCCGTCCAAGGTTCCAACTCTATAGGTGAGTTCTAACAGGAGAGGGTTCCAATATTTTTGGGTAGGGCTTCCAACTTTTTTTGGGTATGGGTTCCAACTTTTTTGATTGAGACTTTCAACTTTTTTGGTAGAGATTCCAACTTTTTTGGATAGAGGTTCCAACTCTTGGGATATGAGTTCCAACTTTTTTGGATAGGGTTCTAACTTTTTTAGTTAGGGGTTCAACTTTTTTAGGCAGGTATTCTAACTTTTTGGTAGAGGTTCCAACTCTTGTGGGGGAGGGTTCCAACTTATTTGGGTAGGGGTTTCGACTTTTTTTGGTAGGGGTTTCAATTTTTTCGATTGGTGTTCTAAATTTTTTGAGTAAGGGTTCTAACGTTTTGGGTAGATGTTCCAACTCTTGATAGTTCCAACTTTTTTCAGGTAGGAGTTCCAACTTTGTTTGGGGGTAGATTCTAACTTTTTTTGATAGGGTTCCAATATTTTTGGTAGGGGTTTAAATTTTTTGGAGTGAGTTTCAACTTTTTTGTGGTAGGGGTTCCAAGTCTTGGGAGGAAGTTCCTACTTACCGGTTTAGTAGGTAATCGGTGTCCACTTTTTTAAATTGATTAACGACTATAAAAATAGAAAAATTACAAACCGCCTAAAATTTATAAACATATATTACTTAAATCCCTTAATTTTAAAATATTAAACTAAAAATATTTCAATCAAAGATAAAATATCAAATACTTTAATTTTTATAATTAAAATTCATATTGTATTGTATCATTTATTGAAATAAAAATTTAATTTTTTTTATTAAAAAATTGTAATCAATATACAAATTATATTGTATGTTGAAATTTAATTTGGTCATTTAAACGGCCAAATTAAAATACCAAAATATTCCAATTAAAGTTAAAAGATATTGTGTCAATTACAGTTTGACATCTTATTTAATTTTTTAGTTTTATTCTAATAGATAGTATAATTATATACTAATTATGATTTTTTTTAAATTAAATTTTTATTTTTGATTTTATTTCAATAAATGACATAATAGAACATGAATTTTGGATGTAAAATTCATGTTCTATTATGAATGACTTAGACCCCTTATTTAATTTTTTTTAGTTTTATTCTGTTAGATAATATAATTATATATTAATTACGATTTTTTAAGAAAAATTTAAAATTTAATTTTTACTTTTATTCCAATAAATGATACAATAGAACATAAATTTTTGTTTTAAAATTTAAAAAATTTGTTATTCTATATTTGATTGGAGTATTTTTACTCTAAATATTATATATTAAATTTAAGAAGTCTAAGTATTATATATCAATAAATTTTAGAGAGTTTAAATGTAATTTATTAACAGATATATTTACTTATGAATTTTAGGGGTTTGTGTGTAATATTTTAAATATCAAGAGATTTATGTATAATATTTTAAATGTTAGAGAATCTAAATAATTAAATGACAAATCTCAAGAGGTCTTAATGTAATTCTCCCTTACTTTTTATAAGTTTTATTAAAGGACTAGCTTTCCTAAAAATTATAATTTTTTGAAAAAATAAATTTTAATTTATAAAATATATTTTCATGATCAATTATAAAAATTATAATTTAAAAAAAAATTATGATCAATTTTTAAAATATATATAATTTATACCTTTTAAAAAGTATAACTTTATGGTTAAAAATAATAATTCTCTGTACGATACCAACTTTTTTTGGATATTGTAATATTATCCTATGTTTTATAGTAAAGCCACTAATATATCGTATACAAAATGACCAAAACATCATTTCCAAGTCACATAGCCCTCTCTAGGGGTGTTTATTAGCCAGGATACCTACGAGTCTCATTATTCGACTCAAAAAAATAAGCTTGAAATTCGATAGACCCGATAGTTGGCTCACCTGAGACTAATATCTTTAAAAAGAGGTCTTAGATTTTCCTCAAAACTCATTACCCCCGTTTGAAAGCTTGGCCCAATAGCTCGCCCGAACAAACCCGGCCCACCATTCATTTGAAAAAAAGTTATACTTTTAAATTATTAAATTTAAAATTTTGAAATAAGTTTCCCAATGTCAGAATTTGAAGTTTTAAAAATTTAGATACTATAAATAATGTATTATTATTTTTTCTATATATTAAACATACAAATTTTAAATGATAGAGTAATGCAAATGATAAATAAATGAGTAGGTGTCAATTTAGTTGGGATGTATTCATTTTATTGGACGTAGTTTATCTTCTAATTAAAAATAAAATTATTCATTATTTTATTTTTATCCATTTTGACTCAATTTTTGATTCAAAAATATAATTTACACAAATATTAAGGTAAAAAAATATTTATTATTTTTAAATAAAATTGTATATAAAAAGTCTATGAGTAGGCCCGCTCAATAGGTTCGCGGGTCGGGCTTCAAGTAGGGATAGTCCAACCCAGTCCGCCTAATAACTCACTTGGATAAGAGATTGAACCTACACTACCTAAGCCTAACCCGAAAAGATTTTTGTGGGCTTAGCCCGGCCCGGCACATGGACACCCATAGCCCTCCTCTAATATGACTTAAGCAACAATATATTATAAATTGTGAATATAGTTTGGATGTGATACTTGTGTCTAGATTTTAATTTCAAGAGAGTTGTACATGCCAATTTAGTGTATGTTTCAAGAGTAGAAAGGTGGGTAGGATAGTGTCCGTTCTTTAGTTTCGTAATTATAAATCGTAAATGAGTCTTTCAAATTTGTAGTTATAATACATACAATGTTCATTTACAAGCTAAATTCATTGAATAGATGAGAACTTTTTTATAAAGTTGAAATTAGAATCTTGGGATAATATTGTCTCGTCATCCGAATAACCCGTCCATCACATTTTGTGGATTGACATTCCAAGTTTCCAGCCTCATACTGCTCCTAAGGCTACTATGCATAACTATCCTCGATCAGTCATGTTTAAATAGGTAAGAAATCTGAAAAGGTCCTGAGTTTCTCACTGAGTTTGCAGTGGATTTACTTTGAAAAATTCTCTATGAGCAAGGAATCATTTGCAAATAAGGTAATAACCCTTTGATCAACAGAGCATGAGTTTCAACATGTCCACAGCACAAAGGCTCTGTTGAAATCAGAGTATACACCTTCCAATTAAAAAAAAATGAGGAAGAGACTTTCTTCGTATACACCGGATAGAACTGTGTACAATTAAACCTCTTTAGATCCCATATTAACGGGGTCTAGGGCATTGGACTGTATTTTTAAGGACAAATCTTTGTTTAACAGGAAGAGGAAGAAACACAAAATACCCAATCTGCAAAAATGACAAGAAACTTATTGTATGGCATTGCATAATAACTCATGCATTACTGGTTCACATAGGTGTTATTGGAATAAAAAACTATACACGGTTATTTAGCTAGGTTCGTGTCGTAGTCATGGAGTACTACTGTATCAATACTTCGTGGACGTCCACTTGCTCATTTCAAACTTTTTGTGCTTAAGCTCAATGAACTCCTCAGCTTCATCATTAACGTCTTCTTCTTCATAGAATTTGCGGTTATCCTTCTCAGCATATTCAACAGCATGCTCATGAAACACCACTTTCACCTTCTTCTGAGCCTCTGGCATGGGTGCCTGAAAGCCCCTGGATGCCATATAAACATTTTCGACGAACTTAGGCTTTGCCTCCATCGTTGAATCATAAACCTGGTGATTATGTTTGCCTTCATTACTGGCATGGTACTCCTTCCTCGTGTACTCCATTTCTATCGCTACCTGTTTGGGTTTTGGTGCCAAAGCAATGCAAAAAAGACTGTTTTACATATATGGAGAGTTGAAGGCATTTATAGGCTAATGTTCGTGAAGGTGAACTGTAAGATAGAATCAGATACCCTATTTTTTTTGTCACAATCAAGTCTAATTCAGCATAATCTTTAGAAATTATGGGGCTACATTCGTATCAAAGTATAAAATATCAACAGAAAAGGCAGAATATTAGATATTTTTCTTGGACAGAAAGCTAGAAGCATTTCTTTTTCGATTTGAAAACTGACCACAATCCTTTATAAAAGCTGTGACCATCATTGTTTTGGATTCTTCTTGAACATATTCAAATTTGGTACAAGTCTGACTTAATTTTAGGAGTTCAAGCAAGCTATAAGGCTACTCGGCTGTCCAACACATGGGTTTATTCTTTGGACATGCTTATCTTCAGCCATGCCAAAAGCCTATGGACACACTAATTTTTGTTCTTTTCTTTTAGTTTATGAGATTGTATTTAGAACCCAGTTTCAAGCTCATTGAACCCTATCTGACATAGATTCCACCTCAACTTGCAGGAGCTGATCCCAGATGATTATTGACAGGGAAATCTTTGCCATGTATACACCGATGAATCTAGGGAGGTCTCTCTCTCTCCCCCACCCCCCAAAAACAAAATACAGGGGCACCTAAAACACCCACACTGACCCACACATCACAATAACCACATATCACAATAACCAAGAGTTCGTCCCCTGAACTATTTTTGAAGGTCCTAAAAACCTGTCCAAAGATTCTCCCACCCCACCTGAAAATCTAGTTTTATTCTATTTGAAATTTAATGGCGTTTTTCAACGTGATGCAATTTTATAATAACGAGTAAATAAAAGAAATAATATTGAAATTATTGGGATATGAGCTACTAAACTCGAGAGAATGATACTGAAAATTGTTGGGGAGTTGGAGGATTAACACAGTAGAAATATAGTGGTTCACCAGCTCGGAAGGTTGGGTAATCCACTCTTCAATAGAGATTCTTGCTCTTTCTTTCACTCTTTACTATACCAAAAGGTTTATAGAATATAAGATGTGATACTAGGGTTCTGCCCCTCTGTTGGGGGCGTAACATAGTATTTATAGGGATGACCCTTAATCTATGGGATCTGATCCGTGATCCTCGTCATCTATCCGAGGAATTCTCATTGATCTTAGGAGAGTATCTTGGTTGGTTGAGGATTTTGTGTCTTGAGTGTTACTTCAAACCGTCTGTCGAGTTCTTTGTAGTAATCAGTTGCTTTTTCATTGCTTCAGCTTATTATCTCGCTTGAAGGGAGCTCTAGCTCTGGTTTTCTGAGCTCTGTATAGCTCTGACTTTCTGAGCTCTACATACCTGACCTCCGTTCCCGAGCTCCTGTTTGGGAATCATTCTGAGTATCATCAGTTGCCCCCCCAGCTCTTGGCCAAGCTTAAAATGTAGCAAAATGGTTTCCCAATTAGCGACTTCAAAGTTTGCACGAGATTTTTTTTTTTTGCATGTAAGTGCTCTTGGCCTGAACCTGCTTGAATTGATGAGGGTGGAACAAATGACCCAGGCTGAGCCCATGTCTTTTCCTGATCTCATGACGCTAGATAATCTGTTCTTGTTTAGCGTCGTTGCAGCAGAACGAGACTTTCCCTTTTTTCTTGAATCTGATCTCTTTTCTACCAAGTCTGATGAGAGCGAGTATGCTAGGACTCATATCAAGAAACGCAAGAGGGATGATTCATCCTTTCTTTCATCCAGATCTTTCCTGGGGGAAGTTTTGTTTTCCTCTGTTGGACAAAAATTGATGGATCTACTGTCAGTGACTGAGAAGGAGAAGGATGAGCTGAAGGAAGAGAACTTGCATTTGAAAGAGAGGATAGCCGAACTACAAAGACGACTAGGAATTTGCTTTGATTGGTTTTTTTTTTTGGTAATCTTTGATGTTCTTGAACCCTTGATTTTTCCTTTCCATATGTTTACCGCTTCTTATACACAATTTGTGGTTTTGAGAATCTGGCAGCTGATTTTCCATGTCGTTTCCTAGCTTGTGGACCAAAGACCCCCATTTTTCCTTTTTGTAACAGATAGAAGCTGTGAAGCTGTCCTTCTAGTCTATGTACTGCAGGTCTTGCTTTTAGTTCTTCTGGACCGGGAAGTGCATTATGAGCTGCTACGTTTGTTTTAGGGACAGAAGAACTCGTCCTGAGCTACTGAGCTATTTTTATGGACTGATAAGTTCAACGTGAGATCCAAGGCTCTTTATGAACTAACGAGTTCATCATGCACTCTAAAGCTCTTATTATGGACTACCGAGTTTGTCGTGAGTTCTAGGGCTATTTTTATGAACTAACGAGTTCGTCGTGAACTCTAGTGCTCTTTTTATGACTTAACGAGTTTATCTTGAGCTATAAGGTTCTTATTATGGACTAATGAGTTCGTTGTGAGCTCCAGAACTCTTTTTTATGAACTAACGAGTTCATTGTGAGCTCTAGGACTCTTTTTATGAACTAATAAGTTCATCGTGAGCTCCAAGGCTCTTTTTATGAACTAACGAGTTCGTCGTGAACTCCAGGGCTCTTATTACGGACTAATGAGTTCGTCGTGAGCTCCATGGCTCTTTTTTATGAACTAATGAGTTCCTCGTGAGCTTCAATGCTCTTTTTATGAACTAATGAGTTCATCGTGACCTTCAGGGCTCTTTTTATGAACTAAGGAGTTCATCATGAGCTCCAATGCTCTTTTTATGAACTAACGAGTTCGGCGTGAACTCTAGGGCTCTTATTACGAACTAATGAGTTCGTCGTGAGCTTCCGGGCTCTTTTTATGAACTAATGAGTTCATCGTGAGCTCTAAGGCTCTTATTACGGACTAATGATTTCGTCGTGAGCTCTCAGGCTCTTCGTAAGAGTGAATGAACCACAAACTTGCTGCTTTATTAATAATCATATTACAGGAGAAACTTATTGAAAAAAATTTCTAAGATGTTCTGTATTCCAAGAGTGGGGTAAAATTTTTGTTGGGTCTGCTTTCATCCGAGGTGGCCACCTTAGGAATTTTTTGTTTTGTACCTCATATAAGATTTGCGATATTGTTGCGATGAGTGGAGGGACCTGCCGAGGTGCGTACCTCGGCTGCAACTGTGGATGAGGTGGTCCCTAGCGATCTCTGACGTCTCCCCTTCTTTTGGGGGATCGATCTCTGTCTCTCCTTGGGGACCTATCTCGTCCTCTTTCTCTTTTGGGACTTCGATCTCTGTTTTTTTCTTCTTTCCCTTTGTCTTTTTACATGGATGAGCTCCCCACTTTTGAGAAGAGAGCTTATTTGCTATTTATGTACTTTTCTGCCTTGGCCAGTACTTCGGCCATGCTAGCCTAGGGATTTTTTTTGAAATAAAGAACATTAGACTTTTAGATTGTACGCCTAAATCAGCTATGAATGTAGTAATGACAAATTTCTTGTTTGGGACATCCACTTTTAGTGATTCAGAGTTGAACCTCTGAACATAGGATTTGAGGTTCTCTTGGGGTCCCTGCTTCACATTCAACAGATGGTAACTTGGTTTTCTGTACGTTTGAGCTCCTATGAAGTGAGATACAAATGATATGTATTGTTCCTTAAATGAGAAAATTGAGGTAGGGGGAGCCTATTGAACCACACTAGGGCTGAGCCTTTCAGCGTGATGGCAAAGGCTCTGTAGCGCACTGGATCCTGGTATCCATGCAACTTCATCTGGTTCTTGTATGTGTTGAGGTGATCTACGGGATCCTTTGTTCCATCAAAAGCTTCTATCTGCGNACACGACACGAATAGTTAAATGGGTTGGGTATGGGTTGACTAATGTTCGACACGACACGAACCCGACACAACACGACTCGATTGTCACCCCNCCATCAAAAGCTTCTATCTGCGGTACTTTGAATTTTAGAGGGAGGGAAAAATGCAGCACGCTAGTGGTGAACGGAGATTCAGTCTGTTGTACCAAGGCATCCATTGTAACTGGAGCCTTGCCTCTCACGGCTTCCGTCATGTGGCTGAGTTCTTGTTGGATACCTTGGAAGCGCTGCTCCTAATACCATTCTCTCATTTCCTGTTGATAAGGGAAAAAATCGTTCCTCTCGCCCCGTCATTCTGACTTTGTACTTTTTCGTTGTGTCCATTCCTGGGGGGTATGCGAGATTCTGGCCCCATGGTTTGACTGTTTTTTCCTTCTTCGTTGACTTCCCTGAGGGGGTTGAAGTGTGGTTGCTCCTTAGGTGGTGGGTTGTTCTGGCCTTCTTGAGTCTGTCCCGCCTCCTGTGGGCGTTGTAAGAGTTTTAAGAGTTCTTTGTTTTGTTTCAGCAAGCGTTGATTGACGAGGCGAAGGTCCTCCATCTCATTATTCATGGGGAGACCCCCCACGGGTGGATTGGTCTCTTGGACGTTCTCAGGTTGTCTGCTATTAATAGCTTCTTGTTGATCTTGCATCCGTGGTGAATTTGTCTGACTTCGGCTTATGTTTCGCGTTGATACCATTAGTCACTGAAAAATCAGTTTATTTATAACAGGAACAATTGTTTCCCACAGACAGCGCCAAACTGATGGCATATTTCAACGTGATGCAATTTTATGATGACGAGTAAATGAAAGAAACAATATTGAAATTATTGAAATCTGAGCTACTAGACTTGAGGAAATGATACTGAGAATTGTTGGGGAGTTGGAAATTAACACAGTAGAAATATAGTAGTTCACCAGCTCGGAAGCTCGACTAATCCACTCTTTAATGAAGATTCTTGCTCCTTCCTTCACTCTTTACTATACCAAAAAGTTTACATAATATAAGATGTGATACTAGAATTCTGCCTAGGGGTGACAATTTTTGATACGATACGATAACCCGATACAAAACACGATACGAATAAATGGGTTTGAGTTGACTAATTTTTTGACACGACCCGCGTATGACACGACCCGCCAACACGAAGTGTTAATGAGTTGTGTTCGGGTTCAACCTGTTTAACACGAATTGACCCGTTAACACGAAGTTTTTAATTTGAAGGAAATTGACTTGGCCTTTTCGTTGCATGTATGAGTTTTCATGTTTTGATGACTTGTTTTTTCCATTATTTCTGATGTTTAATTTGGTTGTATGATGTACAATTAACATATTTAATTAGTATTATATAAATAAAATATTAATTATTTGTAACTGTTTATCAAGTATTGACATAATTATTATATAAAAAAGATACTATTACTCATTATTGTTGTTATTATTATTATTAAGTTAATTTTTAGTTTGTAGAAAAAGTATGAAGATAGATTCAATTAAGAGAAAATAAAATCTTAGCGTTAAATTTTTTATTCAAAGTAAATGTAGGTCAACACGAATATGAACACGAACACGACGCGAAAATAAACATGTCAACTCGACACGACACGAATAGTTAAATGGGTTGGGTATGGGTTGACTAATGTTCGACACGACACGAACCCGACACAACACGACTCGATTGTCACCCCTAGTTCTGCCCCTCTGTTGGGGGCGTTACATAGTATTTATAGGGGTGACCCTTAATTTATGGGATCTGATCCGTAATCCTCGCCATCTATCCGAGGAATTCTCCTTGATCTTAAGAGAGTATCTTGGTTGGTTGAGAATTTTGTGCCTTGAGTGTTACTTCAAACCGCCTGTTGAGTTCTTTGTAGTATCCAGTTGCTTCCTCATTGCTTCAGTTTATTATCTTGTCTGAGGGAAACTCTAACTCTAGTTTTCTGAGCTCTGCATAGCTCTGGCTTTCTGAGCACAGCATACCTGACCTCTATATTTGACCTCTGTTCCTGAGCTCCTNTCTGAGCTCTGCATAGCTCTGACTTTCTGAGCACAGCATACCTGACCTCTATATTTGACCTCTGTTCCTGAGCTCCTGCTCGAGAATCATTCTAATATCAACAAAATTCATAAGCAAGAATAGAGTAATTGCATACTACTACATCTGATTTTGCTAGAGAAAGACCTGTCTTAATTGTTTTAACTGTTAAGGAAAGATCCAGGGCGGATAAAGCTGGTCAAGAAATATCTATTCCTTGACAGGAAAACTTAGCTCATCAGCTTGTGTGAGCTTGTATACCCATGGTAGTCAATGATTCTATAGCTCCATTGTTATTAAGACATACCAACCTAAAATCATTAGAACCTCAAACTCCTTGAATAGTTTGGTAATGGGTAGATGCCCTGTCATTAAACTTAGATATCCTCCCCCCCTCCCCACCCCCCCAAAATAAAAATAAAAAACAAACACCCAAGCCCACAAAACTCAAGTCTAGAAATTAGTAGAAGGCTAAAAGTCTCCAAGAATTGAAGACTGACTTCAAACTACAAGCAATGACCTACTTCAGATCCTGGAGGATGGCCCTCTCTTCATTTTTCTCTCTTTTGCTTCGGATAACATGCCAAAGAAAGAAGAGACAGCAGCCCATCCATCCACACAACAGTACAGATTAAGCAGAGAGAGAGAGCTAAGTATCTGGATTTCTTAGAATACAACGGCATAAGCAACCAGACTTAACATAAATGTAGCCACTAGAGCCATTCTAAAAAAGGAGAAATTAGCACAGTAGTGAAATCCAAGCAAATGAAAGATCAGGTGCTTCGTCGAATCCTACACAGATACAGAGAATACAAGCTGAAGATGAATCCGATGCTACTCATTTATGCTGCAATCATGAGTTAAGATCTGCACATTACTTTCTATTGTTTTGTTATAAACTACATGCCAATGACAATTATTCCTGGGTATGCAATAAAAAAATCAAGTGTGACAAAATATTTCCCAACAACAGACCTCAGAAGATGCAATGCATTAACTGCCATGAGAGACCAGACCATGAATGGAAGAAGTTCATAAAGCCATAGGCCATGAACAGTTCCATGCTTTACTTAATGCAGCCAAATCAATACTCCAGGAATGTCCATGGAATTTACCACGATCAACTATACCAGTAGAGCCGGTTGTTCACAATTAAATATCTAAAAAATCATCATATTCTTATGTATTTAAATCTCCAAATTATCTCTAACATATCTTTTAATTATCTGTTTATTCTCTATGAATAAATATCAATTTCTATAAATAAAAACAGACAAACAAAAGCTTGCTGCTTTTCCCAAATATCACTAAGGCCCAATATTCAAGTGTCCTCACAAAGAAAAAGATGACCACTCTGATTAGGACACATATATTATCCACTATTATGAGCACTTACAGTTTTACAAAAGTAATTGGTCCAATATGGAAACAATCAACATGAAAGCAAAGGTGTGGGGTGAGGTAAGAGGGCACAGAGACACATTTATGATGACACCAAAGAACTAACTCATGCTTTACTTTAGTGGACCATCAACTCAAAAAAAAGGAACTTTAGATCAAAGAAATGTTGGGGAAAATTCGAATAAATGAAACAAAAAAATTAATAAATTAACAGCAACATAATTTGCAAAAATATATTAATAGATTAGTCTCAAACCAAAATTTCCTAACATGAAGGAACAAACTGTCATAAATCTTTTTGGGTCTTATTTGGGGGTCATGCCTACGGCAAGAAAATAATACACAGGCACCCCACAAGTTAGCTGTTCCCATCACAGCAAGCTCCCCACTATGCAAATAGGTATGCTCCCTTCTAACTGAAACACACTCAAGTTATATACAGAACCCTAGAAATCCAAGAATTCCTCCAACCTTCCAAACATTTCTGAAAGAATGACATAAATATTGCCAGACAGGTATCACAGTTCTAACAGTTACACACCGCAGTCATGGATAGGTTGGTNCCCCACAAGTTAGCTGTTCCCATCACAGCAAGCTCCCCACTATGCAAATAGGTATGCTCCCTTCTAACTGAAACACACTCAAGTTATATACAGAACCCTAGAAATCCAAGAATTCCTCCAACCTTCCAAACATTTCTGAAAGAATGACATAAATATTGCCAGACAGGTATCACAGTTCTAACAGTTACACACCGCAGTCATGGATAGGTTGGTAAGGCTCTTCATGGGGAGTCGCACAAACTGCACCTCGAACCTTTACCACAACAGAAATGGAAAATCATCAAAGCAATTCACTCACTTTCTCTTAAGCAATTCCCTGGCAAGAGAAATNGTAAGGCTCTTCATGGGGAGTCGCACAAACTGCACCTCGAACCTTTACCACAACAGATATGGAAAATCATCAAAGCAATTCACTCACTTTCTCTTAAGCAATTCCCTGGCAAGAGAAAACTATACTTGTCAGCATTTTCCAAAAGATATGACGGAAGATGAACAGCTGAGTAGGAATGGGGAATGGGTCCCATTTTCCCGATGATTTCTTTGAAGGTATACTCTTCAGGCAGCATATCAAATAGGTCAGCCCCTTTGCAGATTACCTTTTGAACCCTCTTGGGATTCAAAAAATGAGAGAACCTCACTCTGTCGAAATGGCTATAAGCTTTCATCTTGAATATAAACTCACTGATACGGCGGAAGCAAAAGCTGCAATGCCACCCTGCATCTGCCAAGATGTCATCAGATTGGCGATAATGTGCATATCTTGTCTTGCCAGACTGATATCTGTGGACTGAAGCTCTCCAGCTATTGTTATCCACAAGAAATTCAAATGAATACAGATAATTCTTCAGCCGAAGATGAAGGATGGGAGGTATGTCATCACACCATCTCAAGAGATTGATAGTGTGTCTACTTGGTATCTCATCAACATCCGACATTATCAACAAGTCATCATCTTGAATCCCTGCTTGTTTGAGCAGATAGTCCAGAGCCAGTCGCTGATACGCCTCCTCAATAAAGGGGTTTTCTCCTTTCCTAAATCTCCCAGGAATTTTCCCATAAGTTAATCGTGACTCAACAAATTTAAACTGATCTCGATGGCTGGTAAATACCAAAGGTTTTGGCAATCCAGTAAAAGTTGAATTTGACTCGAGGAGAACGAACTCTGTTACATAAGGGTACAATTCCTTCCATCTCATGGTAAGGATCTCCACCTCATTACTGAACAACACTGCATCAAAGACACGCCTTGGGCTCTCACGGATACCCCATCCATGAAGCCTGCAGAGATTCTCCATTGATACATTTTCATGATAAAAGTGTGGGATTTCATGGAAAGGTTTAGGTGGTGATTCCCACAATGGCCGCAAAAAGTATGAGATCTTCTGTCCATGCAAGTATATACCGAGGACACAGGTTGGAACCAAAATGACCAAAAAGACATACGTTTTGAAATCCAGTCCACGCAGAATACAGCGTAACCTTGTCATGCTCAAAGCTCGGTAGGACTCCTGCAGATTAAAAATATCACATTTAAAAAAAAATAGCATGGGAAAATAAAAAATTACAAAAAACCAAGTTTCTGGGCGGAATATAAAACAAAAAAAAGAACCTCAAAAACTCACTATGAGTAGTACATAAAGACTGTATAGAAGATTTTTCCTTCAGTAAAGTATTGGAAGTTTCCCCGGTAAAACTTAACAAGCAAGGAAACAAAAAGTCCAAATATGTGAATTTATAAAATCATATCTAGAAGACTAAAAGACCAACAGCATCTGCATCATCATCATCCAATTTATAAGAATTTACTAAATCAGAAGTAAAACGCAAACTAGAAAACTGCAAGATCAGCAGTATCTTGCCATCATCCTCAAAACTCTAAGGATTTACTAACCAACATGTTGAACAACTCTATTAGTAGCAATATTTCTTTATTATGGCAAAAAGTTGCATATAAAATGAACATGTAGATAAATGTAAATATAACATTTATTTGGCACTGCTAGAGCTCAACCATTGAATTGGCAGTTCTAGAGTTCAAAAGAACATGTCATAGAATAGACTGTGGAGCACCAGACACCGCCCCCCGCCCCCAGAACCCCAAACCTTGGATTTGGCGAGTTTCAAATCAGCTAAATACTACAGCATCCCAGATTAGAAAGAGAGTTAGGTTGGTCAAAGACATAGAATGTACTCAGGGCAGCAAAATGACTTTGTTTGGGAGCCGCGAGAGTTGAGTAGAGAGGATAAAAATAAAAAAGATAAGATTTTTCATCCTATGTTCCATCTTGCTTAGTCTTTTACGCCCCTAGAAAAGGGAGCAGAAAAGTCAGTCGGCTTGGTGAGTGTTTTTCTTCAAAAAAAATCTAGTTAATATAGTCATGACCTCATGACCCCCCCGGGGGTCCCCCCCAAAAAAACCAGAAATTTGTTTTAATTTCTGTATTTTCGCAAGAACCAAACAGAGCATACAGCACCCAAAACACAAAACAACGTTGTCAAGAGTAAATTCCAACAATGTCATCAAAACCCAGAAAAATACATGGTGGAAATCAAACAGTTACATCGATTTCCCATACACCCAGATATGCAAAAAAAAAATATAGAGATCTAAAAAACAAGGAAAATATAAATATTACCCCGTCGCAAGCATCACCGCAGAAATCATCGGTCTTCTTCGAACAGTAATGAGATCCCTCTTCCGCCATCATATTGTACACTTTCTCTCCAAATCTCGTTATATTCCACATCTCTCTCTATCACTAACCCCTCTCTCTCTCTCTATATATATATATCTTCCTATATATCACACAATTTCAGCTCTGAATCCACAGACAAACTCCAAATCCACCCAAAATGCCTCTGATACACAACCCTCAAATCGATCGAGCAAAATGGAGATATTCCCTGGTTTCTCTCTCTTCAAATATAAGTAATTCACAGTAAACACCCGGACCAGAAAGAGCCCTAAATATCTTCTCCCCCACAAAATTACCCTGCTACCCAACAACAAATACTCGGAGTAGTATTACCTCAAATTGGAAGAACAAAAATCCAAAAGAAATTGAATGAATGAAAGAACAAATTAAGAGAAAAAAAAACCCAAGAAAGAATAATTAGAGGAGGGGTTGGAAAAAGCTGGTGGGTTTGATGTGTTGGAGCCTCTCTGGGTGAGGGTGGCAGTTGTAAAGATTACAAGGAAGCCGTCTCTCTCGTCTTCTACCCCCACCCCAACTTTTATCTCTCCATTTATATTTCTGAACGTTTGGAATTATTATTTTTTATTTGACGAGATTGACCTTTGGTAAGTTCGTTATTATGGGTGAGAGGATACGTCGATTGGTAATTTAAGCATCTGTGAGTGTTTTGGCTGGGTCCCTTACGCGTCCATTGACTGGCTCAAGGCAACTTGGCGTGTCGTCTGCCTCTTGATTTGCTTAAAAATCTTCGCTTAAACAAATCTAGGGGTTAATTACACTTTCGTCCCTGGATTTCCATCTGATTTGTACTTTTAGTCTTTAAACTTTTTTTTATTAATGTGATCCGTTAATTTTTGTGTAATATCAAATTTATCTGAAATTTCTAATGAAAAATGCATACATGTCTTTTTCTTTAACAGCCCGTGTTAATTAGCGATTGTGTTTGAAGTGGGATAAAAGTGGATTTAACCCCTAAATCCAATTCAAGATATATTTTAATAATTTTTATAGGGAAGAAAAGTTTTTATAATTAAGTACCCATTAGAAAGGACACGTGGCAACCTTTGAAAATTGAGTTATGAAACAATGAGGTCGTCTTCTCCTAAGATCAGCTTTTGGAATTATATGGTGGAACAGGCTGTGCACTCATTTTATGATATCCCTTCAAGATATTTTTTTATTTCCAGGCCCTTTTCAAAGGGTGATTTTGATTTGTGTCAATTGTTTGACTTCCTTACATGTTTTAGGAGTGGTGGGGGGTGGGGGGTGGATTGCGATTGAATTGCCATGAAACAATGGCCGAAGAGTAAAAATAATCCCTAAATTCAGATTTTACCCAACCTCCGACTTGATCTTAGACTTATGATCTGAATTTGGACTTAGATTGGACCTTGAACCCAGGATCTAGACTTAAACCTGACCCTGGACTTGGCCTCAGACTCGAACCCAAACTTGACCCCGACCCCTAGCCCAAACTCAAACCAAGACCCTACCCCCGGCCCCAGGATAGAACCCTAACTCCGCCTAGAGCAGGGCCATGGTCTTGAATTGGACCCAAAGTTAGAACCAACCTTGGTCTCAGACCTAACACTCGACTCCAGACTCGACCTCCAACCTAGACCCGATCTTGACCCCGAACCTGAGTCCGAGCCCTTGCCCAAACTCAAGATCAAGACCTCAACACTAGACTAGACTTCGTCCAAGGACCTTGATCTTGGACCTNACTTGACCCCGACCCCTAGCCCAAACTCAAACCAAGACCCTACCCCCGGCCCCAGGCTAGAACCCTAACTCCGCCTAGAGCAGGGCCATGGTCTTGAATTGGACCCAAAGTTAGAACCAACCTTGGTCTTAGACCTAACACTCGACTCCAGACTCGGCCTCCAACTTAGACCCGATCTTGACCCCGAGCCTGAGTCCGAGCCCTAGCCCAAACTCAGGATCAAGACCTCAACACTAGACTAGACTTCGTCCAAGGACCTTGATCTTGGACCTAGACCTAGACTCGGACTTAGATCAACCCCCGACCTCAAATTGAAACCCTAACTTGGCCTGGACTAAGACCCTTTTTTATTATTGTTCTTTTCCACCTATTCTATTATTCTAAGGTGTGGTGGGAGGAACAAGAATGGAAAACCCTGCCTTATCTTCCTCAATCAAATTGCAGCACATGGGTGTAATCATTTTCAATTCAAGAATTACTCGATTATGATTGGTTTTATCACCCCTTTTATTCGTTAGTCAACCCAAAGTTTAATTCATACAATTCATTCATTGTTAATGCAATTTGGTAGGGATATTTGCCAAACCTAATCAATCATTTGGGCAAAACCCACATGATGAATTCCCAATAAATATGCTATCATAAATAAGTTACATTTTCCTCTTCCTCTTCTTCTCTATTTTTTTTTTAATCTCAACATTATACCAAAATCTTGAGATTAAATAGAAAAAGTGCAAAGTTTACTCTGAGAATTTTTCTAACTCTTCTCACAATTACAATATCCATCCAACTAATAAGTTGATGATCACTGTAATACCCGAATTAAAACACCTTAATTGAAGAAGATGAATAATCTCATAATTATAATTGTTTCTTTTTCTATTTCATTTTGATTTTCTCTTCTCTAATTTTACTTTCACAAAGAATATACAACAAGATTCCATAATAATAATGTTTTTGTTCTCATACCATTACTACAACATTATACCCTGCGAACATAACACTTTGGATACTAGAAAGAAACTTCCTCTTCAAATCATTAATACTAAATAAGCAGGGTGACCACAAGAAAGGTTTATTTGACACGGTTTTTTTCAAGAGCATTGAATAATTCCAAGTGAAAGCGTACTAATTCCTAATACGGATGTACCACTAACGTTTGCATCTGTGACTTCTAGGTATCATTGTTGTTGGGTGTTATCTGACACAAAGACAATAAACAATGACCTTTGACGAAATCAATCAGTTTCTAATTTCACGAACTTTACTTGTTCTCAGACCGTTGACTAGTAGAGCCCATTGATTACCCTATAGACAATCAATAATACAATGTAAATATAATTTATTAACTTAGTTAATTATTGAATGGATAGTTTTTTTTTTTGGGGGAAAAGAAAGGAAGAGGGAGAGGGGGACTTGAACCTTTGACCTTAAAAAAAATAAATCTTTCACAAGTAAAAAAATACCATTAAACTAAAAATCCATTAATTATCGAATAGATAGTTGACTCAATCTAACAATAATTTATCTCATACACTTAAGGCTTTCTGTTTATCGCAGCACACTATCCGGTGTTTAATGCATTTATGGGTCATGGGTTCAAATCCCTTTAACCTACATCGACCATCGTTTGTGTGCTACTTTGACTTGTAGATTGATCATTGGATTTCTTTGAGTTCATTGACAACCAAAGTGTCTGCCATTACATTTCAAGTACCTTAGCATAAAACCATATACAGGCATACAATTTAGGGTGTAATTTAAAGTTGCCTTGTCAAATAGTTTATGGTTATTATTATCAATTCAGACCAGAGCAAAGTTTAGCCTATTCAATCTTCGTGCGTTGCACACCAAAACAACTCTAAAAGAAATCTCATAGTGCCCAGTTCCTTCTCATCATCTTCTTTGTCCTTCGTCTTCTGGGTCAACCTCTCTTTGCCACTTGTTCACACAAAAGCCCTTGATGCATCAGCAATCAAAACTCTATTAATACAATCACTTTTATATAATAAAGTATAATACAATTTAAATTTTTAAAGATAAACAAAAATAACTTTTGTTATTCGCGGTTGAAATCTCTTTCAATTTTACTTTAAAGTTAATCCGACGACTAATATTAGCACTCTAATTTAATCGAAAAAATATGTCCTTAAAGGTGTGTTTGAGGTGATTTTTTAAAAATGGTTTTAATACTTATAATTTCTTATAAATACTTAAAAAAAATAGTGTTTGAAATCACCCCACCACCGCCACTACCACCATCAACCCCACCACCACACCACCGAACTACCCCCCACCACCACCACCAATGTCACCACTACCATCACCACCTCACTCTTACCACCACCATCGTTGTCGTGACCATATATACCACCGCTTACATTAGTGGCTTGGCCTCAGACTATTGGGTCGGCAGTAACATCATGCCAAATTAAACAGATGGACACAATTACTCAGCAAATCACTGTGTCACTTAATGCGTCCCTTATGAACCTTCAACTAGGTAGTCGAAGGAGTCAACAGATTATACCCTCAATCTTTCTTTTTTCAATAAAACCTTTGTTTGACATCTTGTTAATTTTGCACTTATGTATCCTATTTCCATACTCTAATGGGATTCAGATCCTCCAAATTTTGATTTTTGTCAACTAGATTGTTCATCGCTCGATGATAATAATAATAATAATTATTGCTCACTGCTAATTTCATTGAATCCTACTGAGTTTAGTACAACTGTAGGACTCACTTTAAATTTAGCAGTGCATAATTGAAATTGAATAAAAAGTGACAAAATTTGAAATGTGAAGGATGGATCTATCCATTGCTGAAGGAATTTCTCGAAAACAACAAAGGTAAAAGAAACTGATTAAAAAAGAAAAAGAAAAAAAAGGCTTCAAATGTGATATGAAAAAATAATTTCTTTGTACGATTTATTTATTTTTTGTTTAATAAAACATAACACGTGTAAGAATCTTTTATTTTATTCTTTTGCGTTACTATCTTTTTTACAATTTATAACTACAAATTAATCAAACAAAAATCTATGAATATAAATCAAGTTTGGACCGGTATTGAATTTTTTTTTTTTTCCGAATAGTGTAGCTATATTAAAAAGAAAAAGAAAGAACCGTTGGAAAGATAGGCAAATGGTGGGGGGACACATGGATACACTTTGTCTAGGCTGCACATGCTTGAGAGAGAGAGAGAGAGAGAGAGAGAGAGAGAGAGAGAGGGAGGAGGCAACACAGGACCACAAGATGCAAGTTCATAGATTTCCAAAAATATCTCAAGTGCTAGTCGTTCTTCCATTGAGCTTTTCGGCATCTTCTCTTTATTGGGTGGAAAGCCTCCAAAATAGATTTCAGCTTGGAGCTAAAAAAGCATAATTAATTGGTACAGAAAGTATATATTTCGTTAGTATGGTACTTTACCATTGACCATAATCGTGGTGGTGGGCTTTTGGTAGCCGTTAAGTTCAGTAAATCGTGTGATGTTCGTATCAAAAAATTATTTTATCCATACTTAATTATGTATGATTGGTATATAAATGAGTTGTATAGTCTATTTTTTTTTATTAATTTCAATCATATTCAATTCATTTATTAATCATGTAATATCGGGTCCACTCGTTTACAAAACGTATGACTTAAAAAATATTCAAATTCTCTAATTTTGTATCATATTTGTGACGACTTGTGTTATATTTTAACACATTTAGTTACTAGAGGTAAACCAAATGACTAATTTGGGTGGCAGATTT